TAATGTTGCATCTAGCTCTACCTGTGCGGAGGCAAGTGAGATACATTTTCTATAATGGATTGTAACGAATCTATACATGTGTTACATGGTAGTTGTGTGATGTACCAAAGTTAAAATGAATCATGTTGGATACTATCATGTATCTTGTGTTCGCATGAATACATCAAGTAATTTTCACTTGAATATAAATGGTGTATTCATAATTTTGTGTGTTCTTGATGTGTCATTTGTGATATTCATATACAATCTTTTTGGAAACCTAAAATTTGCACATCTCAAAAACTCGTGATTATCTTTTCAAAGCTAATCCACGAAAACACAAAGCTATGCTAAAAAAGCCATAATTTTGTTTCGCACATAACAACATCCAACGGTGCTATGTAGCAATTACGACACGAGTATAACTAAGTAAAGGTATGCCATCCGACCGTGAACCCACCCGTCGAACGCGCACCCGCTAGAAGCCGTCGGATGGCATACGGTCGGGGTTGTAACTCATGACAGTTTGTTTTTATATACTACTATGTCATGTACTACTATGATCCAACGTCAAGTCACGTACAGGCTCCACAATACAGGGACGGAACAAGGAGGAAAGTAGATAGAAAAGGGATGGGGAGAAGGAATGCAAAGCTTGGGGAAAATAGCAGGCGGCAGAGGGCAAGCCCTCGATATGCGTTAGGCAGCCTCGGGCTAGGTCCGTCGGAGGTGCCGATAGTTGTTAACATGTGCGCGGTGGGCACAGCAACGCGGCGAACTTTCTCGCGGAGGTTGGAAGAGTGCATCGCGTTCTGGGCTTGCGTGACTTATTGTTCGATTGATATTTGTCGAAGGGAGCTAGTCGATTGTGTGTGGCCGAGACATTGGATTGTACGCGATGTGACAGGTCCTTTCGATGTCGAGCAGAAGGGTAGGCAGTCAGAAACATAAGGGAAGGCAAGGGAAGGTGAGGGTAGGGTAGGCGTCTGGGCGAGGTACGTACGTCCGGGACCCATGAGGATATTTATGATGTTTTGTCACGAGATGGAACGACCTGGGCGGGCCTCCATGGACTGCACGTACAGTAAATGTTCGGTGTCTTGTATTGTTCGTTGGCAGTTCCTGTCTCGGACTGGGCAACGAGCTGGATACCACTAGCAAGGTAACAGAAAACGTATTTTCCAGGTATCTGCGAGGCCCGAGGAAAGGGCGTAGAAGTCAGGCGGTGTCGTGCGTCGTAGTACGGTCTGCGAGAGCGAGCGAGGAGTATCTGGTCGCCATGGCGAAATCTTCCGACCGCGCTACGCACGTTGGAATCTCGTCCATGTACCAGATTCGGCGACATGTCTCGCACGCCCGAGCGCGACCGGAGGCTCGGAGCCGTTATCGCTGTTTCTATTTTGTTGCGCTGGCGCTCGAATCGGCGTCTCGCGAGACCGGATTGAAGGCCACCGTGACAAACGAGAGCATAACTCGCTCGCTCGGCGATGGGCGAACGAAGGAACGAACGAGCGCGAGGAACGAAGTGTAACCGAGTCAAATATCATGCCGGGCCTCGGCTCTCGTAGATCTCTTCGTTCATGGCCATGTCTCTGTTTCTCTCTCTCTATCTCTCCATCTTTCGGAGGGGAGCCTCGAGCAGCTGGCAACCACGTACACCAGCATCATCAACCGGTACGTTCCGCTGAGCCGGAGCGAGTCTTTTGGAGATTTTCTGAGAGAGTTGCTTGTGCTGCCTGTGGGGAGTTTGTTGCTGCGCGGCTGCTGCTGCGTTCGTCATCTGGCCTGGCGATCTAGGCTTCGCCTCGCTGGCGGCTCTGCTCCTGCTCCGCTCTGCTCTGCTCTGCTCCTGCTGCGCCAGGAGCAGCAGATTTTTATCAGTGTGGCCGACGGCCACGATTGGATCATGAGCGCGAGGAAAAAATCTCCAGCATCAAGTATTGAGATCTGATATTGCTGCTCGAAGTTTTTGTCCGCAGTAACTTTCTAATTGGAGCGAATTGGAGCGAAAACGTCATCACTGTTTTAATATCTCGGCAGCGCTAGAGTCCCGTGCAGAATCATAATAGCTCGATCGAAAAGATGGGTGAAGGATGGATCGGGCCACCGATTTCTCGCTCCCGAATAGCAATCCCAAGCGGTCCCCTTTCTCGTTTGGACCCCGTCGCCTCCACCCACGATCGTCCACATACGCGCAGATGTCTTTCCTGCAGATTCTTGTTTTAGGGCAGACGCTGGTCTCCGTCTTTCTCCTCCCCTCCTAATATCCAGCTGTACGGGCACATCTCTCGGTTTCCGGTCCCGGTCAAAATCCCAAGTATCGTGTCGGTTCCGACCTCTCCGCCCGCCCTGCACCAGCAGCTGCTCGTTCTGGGCCACGGCCCAGGGACGCCACCGCTGTCCCTCCCCGGGCCTGTCCCCAGCCTTTCTTCAATTCTTATTCTCCGTCGGTCTTCGAGAACTCCCCCGCTTCGATATCTGTTACCAGCACTGCCGGCTAATATATAATATAATCAGCTGACGCGGCACATCGAACGGGATTAGAAGGGCGAAGTCTAACGTTTAGAGGAGGGGGGCGGATTCAGACGAGGGTCCACGAGCAGCGACATTCCGTTCTAAATTGGCATCTTAAGATTCCCGGATCGTTTGGAAAGATCTGGTTTTGAAGAGCGTGGAGGCGAGGAGAGGCAGCTCAACTGCACAGAGAGCTCTCTTGATTTCGGGCCGCACTGGCCGCTGTCACGGCGGCGCCTTCGTGAGGTGAGGCGTCGGGCAATTCGTTCTCGAGAGGGAGAGATAGAGAGAGAGGGCGGTGCCGGAGCGAGGCACCGAGTCCCGGCGGGAGCGAGAGTCCATGTCATCGATATTCGATCGGCGACGTCGGCTCATACATCGCCTCAGCCACGCCGCCGTTTTATTCTATTATTAGACGCCGAGCGTCGCGCGAAATCTGCGCTGCGCAGATCGATCGACTGCCGCGGCGCTTCTCGAATCTGACGCGACTAGCCGGTGGGATCTTCGCCCGGGCAGTCACACAATGCCAGCGAGAAATGCCTCCCCACCCCTCCCGAACGTTGAACGAACGAAAGAACGAACGGAGTGAGCGTCCAAGCGGCTCCACCGTCACGATGGATCCATCCATCCATCCGCTTTGAATGAATTCGAATCCCAGCGGGCTCTCGAATGATCGAATGTGTTCGTTCGTTCAATGTAAGGAGCCGTCGCACCGGCGCATCGGCAGCCGGTGTGCAGGTCACCACACAATCGTATGGCGAGGAAAATATCCTGCGCTGCGGATCCGACGACCATTTCCAGTACCGTAACAGTCTCGTGAGCACCGTCGCGGGGGCTTCCAGCTCACTCTCTCTCCGGCGCCAGCTGTTGCGCCTCGCGTAGGCACGGTACAAGTCCGAGCCGAAGCGGCATTCCTGCGCTTCGTGACTGTGCTGATTTTTGAGGCCACTTGGCAGCTGTGAGTGATCATGACCGGCTGGCTCTCGCCAGCTCGTACGTCGTCGGTCCCTTCTGGGTCCATGAGGACCTCCTGTAAAGTGGAAATTTGGATTTCATCGGCTCCAGACCCTTCCCGGACGCGCTTTGTAGTTGATTTCGCACTGCATTGAATTGTCGGTGTGTGGGGACTGAACGATGGATGGATATTTATAATTTTTCTGGACCTTCGGATACATTATGAATGAGCTGTGCGTGTGGTGGCAGCTCACTCTCAAAGGGATTACGAACTCGGCGAGTGAATTGTCGTTTCTGGGATCAGATGAATGATATCTTCCAGTCTTCTGAGAGAAAGCCCGAGAAACTTTCAGTTTCATGGAATGAAAAGAAATTTCGATTTTATTGTATAAGGATGAGATGAATGAACTGTTTTGAAATTGTCCTGTTGGAAAATTCTAAAACATTTTTCCATCCAATGGATACGAATTGATTCAAATTATATTTAGGTTTACTATCCAATTCAATCTTAATAGTAAGGTCCTGATGCAGGAAAAATTTTACTTGATGATTATTAAAAATCCGACTGTATTACACTATGATATCTAAGGTTTACATATTCATTGATAATGGTACGTTTTGATCAGTAATAATGTCCGGGTCTTAAATAGAATGGTAACATGAGATCAAGGGTGTATAATTTTCGTGAAAATAAATTCTAAATAGATATAAAAAACTTGAAATTGGAAAATTTTCTTTTCTTCACTTCATGACCTGTCATCTACAAGTATTCACTGTACAAGTATTCACTGTACAATAGTTATTTGAGCTAGAGTTTGAAGTGAAAATCATGAAGGTGTGAAGCTTATTGAATGTAAGGGGGAATGATTTTGCAATCAACAGATTGAGTATGACTCAACTTTGATGTGATTATTCTAATCTTGACATCCACTTACTCCGGTGGACAATCGAAGATTGATTGTGAATGTACTTCGGCGTTACTAGTGGTTGGATCGGAATCTTCTGTGCATGCTCTTATCGTCATCTTGTTAAAAAATCCATAGGCTTTAAAGATCTCAGGTACAACGGACTTTAATTCAGGTGTGCAGCAGCCTGCAATCTGTGTGTCTCAAAGCCACAGTAGTTTCTGATGTTCTGATTTCTCACACAGCCTTCGATGTGAATCTGACGCTGTGATGTCTGCAGGTTGTGAAAGATATCGAATATGAGATATCTTGTTAACATGTCATCGAGTCTCGGAGGATTCGAAGGCATGATAGATATTGGGAACAGTCTGATAAGAGTTTCAGGTCTGTGGACTGCAATTCTTTCTAGAATTTGCCACGCATGGAGCTGATCCATGATCGACAGTCGAACAGAAGACAATGGCAGTGGCCCAAGAACGCCTCACAGGTGCTGAGATCGTAATATCTTGGGAACGGGCGTCGAACAGAAAGACGAGAGGGAATACTTCTGATTGGAGCTGGACCTCCTGATCATTCATAAAGCTAGACAGATACTTTTTCCCTAAGGATCGCAGGCAGTCACATTAAACTCAACCACTGCAGTGTGCCAGCCATCGACGTAGGCCGTCCACAATTTTATTTTTCACCGAGGCGCTACGTTTTGATAGTCTCGTTAAAAAAATTTATTTTTCAATTCACATGAAAAACGAGCTGACTGAACTGTACTCTCTCTCTCTCTCTGTCTAAAAGTATATATCATAATCATTTTGTCTTGTTATTTTATAAATACTGCGAACTCAGTTGTGCTAACAACAGGCACTATTGCTACGTATGTGAAATAGTCACCGGTTTTTGCCGACTTTCACCTCCACTTACATAATATGGAACCGAGGTTTCTCATGATTACTTGAAATGATATTATCTGCTCTTTCAATGTCCACGTTGAATGTTACCGAAATTGTTTCACAATGTAATTTAAAGTCCTCAGGACATTATAGAGAGAGGCAATTTTCCCAATGAGGAAATCATGATTTTCTTCTGCATAGGAATGAGAGCACTCCGAAAAGATAAAAATCTTCTTTGCAAGCTTCGATAGCGTATGGGTTGACAAGCTCATCATAAATCATGTATGTCTGAAGGAATCCGATGATTTATATCTCGGATGTCCTCCATCCTGATTCCCGCATCCCAGAAGCAAAACGCTGAAGGGTATTTCTTTCGCAGGAATCCTGCGAAAATGTTGAGTGTAGTACCATGACAGAGTCTAAGGTGGAGACCTCTTGGGAGATGTTGATCCATCGCTCTTCGAATCTGGAGGAGGCGATTTCGGTGACTTGGCTCTCTTCGACTGCTTTGCCTGCGGTCGGACAACAGATCAGTCCTTCAAATCTCAAATCACACTCAAGTCCCCGGTTGCAGTCTGCCCTGTCTGAAGATATAAACTCGATGTGCGGGTACAACTTTGAATTCTAGCCACAAGCTGATCAACTCCGAAGATAACACCTCCATGAGTGATGTAGTATGGGTCTAACTTCAGAGTTCACTATCTTCTACGTAATGCGTACCAACGTACAAAAAATTTATTACGACGCAAGTGTCATGAGTGAATTCTCTTACACTTTTTGTCGGTGCCTTTATTTTAAAATTTAGAAACTTCGTGAACGTATACATCCTAAAACTCTTCACTGGTACAATCGCAGTATTTAAAAAAATAAAATAAAATAAAATACTAGGTTTGGCATTACAAAGTGTGACTTTAGAGTAGATGAACGTCAGAAAAAAATATTATCATCATTTGCATATCTCTACCTGCGCAGTTGGTAGATTTTTAGTTTCAAAATAAAAATACTGCGATTACAAAAGTAGCGGCGTGAACATCTTACTACGAGTAGTTCCTTCCATAAATCACTCATCTGGGTAAGGGGACTCAATGCGTGGAGCCGCATATGGCTTTGGATTGATAAATGAATCAACATAAATATCCAAAGGTACGCAACTGTAAAGTTAGGCATAGAGTGTGAGGGTCGTGGTCTTAGTTCAGTTGGACCTAAATAGTTGCGACCTCCACAAGTTAATATTACACTGTAACTGTTCAAGCACATCCTTCTACTCTAAAAGAAGAATGAAGTGTGGTAGACAATCATGCAATTTTGGATTGCTGCAAACTTTCTCGAATTCTCTTGTCACTTGGGGATAAATGCCTAATTGCCCACACCAGAACTGCCCAAGTCTGAAACTACTGTACGTAGGTGAAGGTAGGTAACATAAGCCTAGTGACCGGATATTGCACTTGCTCACGCGTGTGCCCAAACAGACTGAGTAGAAACTAAGCAGTGGAGCAAAAAGGATCTGAAAACCCATCGAGACTGGGAAACCCATTAACTGGCAAAAAGATGGGAAGACCATTGAGTCCTACAAGATGGTAGCGGGGTGCTATGCCGGAATAGAATATGAAATATGTCCAACAACTCCTAACGTAACCACATTGCCTTAAAACTAGAAGATTAGTTTATGCATAAGCTGTTTATGGATCTTTTTCCTTGTGCGTATTTTGCTTAAGGTGGATGGTTTTCAGGTACAGCCTTTGGACCTTCATGGTACTCATACTCATGGATTAGCTAGATAATATTTAGAAGGTTGTTATTTTTTAGTTGCCGCTGTTTCATCATGAGATTGGCCCATTTCTTCACAATGGTTAAATAAATGAGTAAATATAAAACTGCACTTAAGATTACCAATTTCCCTACGTCAAACGTCAACGTCAGATACTCGGTGACATCTGCTTTCCTTCATAATTGTTTCTTGAGACTCTCTTACTGATGCTTTAACATAGAATCAAACGACAATTAACCATCAAGAAATTTGCAATGCCCAACTTCTGATAAAGTTTTCGAGTGTTCGGCAGAGGTATCAGAATTGAACAGTTTGTTGTCGAATGAGTGACTCCACATACAAGATGGAAGCAAATCTACCATCTTAAAAGCCCCAAACTGGTTGTTTGTCCCGGTAACACTTTCTTCGGTATAAAGTTGCCTTCATCTGTAAGTGATGTACTCTATATAACGACGAGGAGAGTATATATTCGAAGAAAGTGTGGTTTTCTCGAGAATGTCATCTTGCAGCCCTCAGCATCTCAGGCGCATTAGGCAATGGATGTTCAAAAGAAAAGAATTCCGGATGAAACTTTCATCTCTGAAGCTTTAGATTTGGCCGCCTACCGGACATTCGTTGAGAAAGAGAACTAAGCAGAAGTGGGCTGTTCCAATTTCGGATTCAACAACATGCGATCGGAGGTGGAGACGCAGGGAATGAAGCGCGGTGCAACCACAACGACTGAGCTTCAAAGCAAATTCTTGGAGGTTGCATGACCCCACCCCGAAAATCGGGAGTGAGACGCATGGAATAAAACACCAACTGCTGCTATCGAGGCGATGTAATATCCCCGTGTGGCGGGGTCCACTGGAAACCGAGATTTCACAAGCTTACAGTCTCGTCTAGAGAACGCTACAGTGTTGTTTGTTTGTTAGCCTGTTGTTCCCGGAAGCCACGATGTTCCTCCCATCAGCGACGGACTGACAAAATCTAAATCGAAATCCCCAAATACGTCAAGCGATCGTGTGCAAGGCGAAGTCTAGAGAGAGAGTGAGAGAGTGTGTGAGAGAGCTCAAAAGTGACAAGTGGAACCGCATGGAACTGGAGATAATCCAGTTGCAGAGTCACTCTTGCTCACAGAGTGACACATATGGTACGAAGGACTAACGAATGATGTATGACGTATGTGCCTCCAGCTCTCAGAATCTATGCCCGTCTTGTAGGTGGAGCCTTAGAGGGAGTGGAAGACACCCTAATGTATTATAGTCCAATTACCTGCACTGTAAAGTTCAGGAGAAGGGGTTCTGCAGTGACTGGACTGAAGTAGAATGACCAAACTTTTCATCGTTCTCCAATCCTTCAAAATAGAATCTAAGGATAGTCTAGAAAGTCTTAGTTTGTCACCGCGTAGATTTTGCTAGAACGATAGAATCCATTGACCATACAAGCCAGCCACATCCTATACCTTTAAGCTTTTATTTCTTATACTTGTCAATGTGCTTCCATACCAATCAGAACATTTCCTCGCAGTTCATATTATATCATGTTTAATTCCTCTATATTAACCCCCATCAAAGGTTACAGCAGTGACTGGACGCTGAAAGATTGCTTGCTGAAAAGATTACCTCCGCAAGGGCGACTTGAGCAGTTGCACATTCGAGTCGCAGTGTCGTCACATTGTCCAACAAAAGATCATTCAGTTTACATATTTCTGCTGCCTGCGCTGCCGTGGACATGGTGTAGTGAGCGCCGCCTCTTAGGAGAGCCCAATGCGGTCTTGGTGTCATGGAACCCATCTGCTGTGTTAATATCTCTGCTTTCATGAGCTTTTGCTGTAAGTCTTTGACCTGGGCCCTCAACACTGCCATCTCTTTCTTTGGCACCCTGATATAGATGAGATTGTATCGAAATTATGTCAGAAGAAACGATGCGTAAGATCTGACAGTAACAGCAGTGTGTGGGAAGTAATTCAGATCTGTTTCTATATCTAGTACTCGCTGTCATGAATCATAATACTAGACTCAGGAATTCTGGAAGGCAAAAAATAAAAAGCCTTCTGCAACCACATCGACTCATATACAAAGTAAAAGCCAAAGCAGAACAGAAGAACCAACCCAGGGAAGATATAATGAATACAGCTCACGTCTCTCCCGTAGTAAATCACGAGAGATCTGCATGTAGGAGCGTCAGAATCACTCTCTACAACGGTGACTCTGATCTATCCTGCATGCAGATCTTCAGTAAGGGCGATAACAAGAAGTATTTTACAAGAATCACAACTCAAAACTAGCTTTCTCTCAATGGCAGTTGCTAAAGCACGCTGTGATTCTATGCATATATGTTGTTCAACATGTTGGATGCAATAAAAAACCATAACTGTGCAACTATTAGTCTCTCGTGATAAACTGGAGCACACGTTCTAACGAAGCTGTAGATACATTGTCCACGCTCCTCTTGCATCTTCAAGTAAAATGGAATGAAGATATGGCGCATGCAATCTTTGACGTTTGTGGATCTTAGCGACAACGCTAATCGAAAGATGTGCCCCTCATGCAATCTAGTGCATGGTTTGATTGCGTCGTGGCAATAATACGTCGACTTGTATAAAAAACCACAACTTGAAACGAAGTAACTCGGTACACCCGTGACCTTTACATATCATCACCCTCTATAAACAAACTCTTTAAACTGGATGTCTCTTCTCTTGAGCAATGACATTAGCGACATCACGAATGATGTAGTGTGTTAGCTATACTATGATCTATGATGATGCATGGACTTCATCGCGCACTAAAGGCTGAAGTCTAGATCAAATCCACTGACAAGTATGTGGTTATGATAGCTCTATAATGGGGATGGATAAGTCTCGGCCCTTGCCAAAGCAAGAACGCAGGCACTGTACAAATACCACACAAAAACAATCGTGATGCAAACGTGAATGAGTATGTAGTCTCATGGTATGCCTCCATGCATGCAATCTGGGCACACAAGTAGTAAATAGACACTCAAATGCTAATTTTTCATGTCAGTCCAAAGATAAAAATATCTTATATGCAAGAAGTACATAATATTGAAGAGACCACTATATCGCACTTAACTCATCAAACATAATCATATAAAAGAAAACGATCGTGCATGGAACCTTTCAAACACAATTTTGGAGTCATGAAGGTCAAACTACAAAAAATATTGTTGATAGTGAAGACATGATTGTCAGTCGAGCCTGGAAGATAGCTAAAGCTTGCTTAAGTGACCCCCAAGTACAAGAACTCATGACTTCACCAGAAACTTCAACAACTCTTCTATCAAGATCAAGAAACGGAGTCATGGAAGAGAGTTGTGTGGTAAAATGTATGAGATATGACGGGTAACGTGACACTCAGAAGTAAAATGGCCCATGCCACTTGGGAGTCTCCCAAGTACAAGGTACATGACGGAAACTCTTAAACATTGAATGATAATCCCAAAGTCCACATAGAGTAACAGAACACCCCAACGAGACTGAGGCCAAAATGTGATAAAAGTCAACTGTCTGGTTTACCATATATGGGAACACACAACCGAAGCCTTTTGTGATTGTTTGAAATTATTGACTGATAACGCGATGAGACACTATCAAGCCATGACCATCATCTTAAAGGGATCTCTCTACCTTATGAACAATACAGACTAGAACAATGATTCTTTCTGTTTGCATGTGCAGATACTGATATTAATAGAGAAAAGTGCATGTATGCTCTATATAATAGCATGGTGTAAGGACCAAACTCGCTATTGGTATTTATTTGTCATATAAACTAAAGATGGAAAACATGAAATACTAAAAAAATAGCTTCAAACATCCACTCGCTTAATAACCCAATCCGGGTGAAAAAATAATAATCTTTAATCACAAAAATGACATGATCACTTTCAAGCATCCAAACTCCAAAGTGCTCCTAGCATAATATTTGAAACTAAATATCAGAGGTACCACTAAGCAAGCGCAAAGATACCTCCTAATAGCAATAGTTCAAAGTACTCCAATCTCCTTGGTCCTCTCCAATGACCTTGTAGCACATGAACCCCTGAACTAGGAATTTCGTCGTTTCACTACCTATAACAACTCAGTATTTTTTTTGGATAAATCATGATATCTTATGTCTGTACACTCAGCTATAATAAGTTGGGAAGGGACCAGGTGCTATGGCCACAACTTGGGCAAATAGAGATTTGTCCAAGACCAAGTATGCTCAGGCTTCTCAACTAATATGAGAGGACACTCAACCCAAAGATAAGAGGGGATGATTATGCTGATGCCGCAAAGTAAAGTAAAGTTGTCGGTTGGGGCTGGAAGTATCAAATGATGTACCGCTCTACCGTTTTTGACATGTTATCTAATGCTTTACAGACCATTCGACAACTTATGAGAGGAATGGTGGATGTATTTTCGAACGACTGATGGAGGGAGAAGATGAGTGGACTATGAATCATCAAACAAAAAACGAAGAAGATGAGAGTGATGACTCTAATCGCCTGACCGCCCGCCATTGTATAATGCATACAGCAGATTGAATCAGAACCATGTAAAGTTGTCCATAGGATCCAAAGCAATCCGATTAAGGGTTAGACGTCTAGCCCGCCTAGCCTTGCGATCCAAAACCCGTGGACTCAAATCATAGAGAAGCTTACACACAAATCAAGTCCGATGAATATAAAACATTCATAACTGACTTGATTTGTGCCAACTTTGGAATAGGACACAAAAAAGAGAGAAGGTGTAACCATTTTTGGAAGCAAGTAGTGTGATATCATTCCACTTGTTAGTATACCATATAAAGCTACATTTTGGATCCACACATCTAAGTTGATGGAATACAAAAGGGTGATAAAGATAGTTATGAATGATATATATTACCCTTCCGCGGCCTCTTTGCGTGCAACTTCCAAGTTCATCTGACAATGTTGCAGCTCAGTAATGAGTAGGAGATGTTTGGCCATAAGGTTCTCGTACTCTGATTTCTCATGTTCCTTCAAAAGCAAATTACAAAACTTTTGTCAACTTCTTGTCTTCAGGATGTTGCCATCCTAAACTCCGGCCATCAACTTGTGGAAAAAAACATATGAATCATCTTTCCATACAAATTTTCTTCAGAAACGTGCAATAGAAAATCTTGTTGATGAAAGACTGACAGTCGTGATGCAAAATCTTTCCAATTCACTGCAATTGCCTAGTAGTTACCAGGCAGTGCTCAATATTTCGAGCATGGAGTACTTCAGCCCTGCTCTCTTCTATTTGAGAGGACAGCTTTGCGACCTGGTGTCATATCAACAGACACGTGACAAGTCAGAATGCACATCCTTGTATGCCTGAAAGTACAGTATACATCTCGATGCTTAATACAGAGTAAGCCTAGATCAACATAATCGTTGTCTTTGGGTGGAACTGTAGACCTCTTTGATGCGCCTCTCCAGAGCTATAGCTGTTTGATTGAGTTTCTTTTGGAGCTCAAGCACTGTTTCACGTTCAGCTATGATCTGCTCTCTAAGCTCCTGTCAGATGAAACGGCAGTGATAGTTCCTTCAGTCACTCACCGAAACTCCATAGTGAGTGACCATCGTTGTAATTGGAAAAAGGGGATACCTTCAACACTGTCTGCAGCTAAGTTTCTCTGAAGCAAGATATATATGAGAGAGGAGGAAAATAACGAGTCAAAATTGGAAGAAATTGACAAGCGAAACTGATTATTAGGTGGTACATTGATTATCCATGTGCATTGATCAATTCTAGCCTTATCTAACAATCAAGGACATGGATTCAGGGATGGGTAAAGATTCAACAGAGAGTACGCACGACCAGCTAACGGATAGCGAATTTCAAAAATATCGATTTCATTATGAGCGAAGACGTGAATTCAGCCGACAGATTTAGTAATATTTCATAAAAATAGTCTTGGAACATTACCACAAACATATCACCACTTAAATTTGTGGCTTCGAACAATATTGATTCTGATGGAATCTCGTACCTGCATGTTTGCTTCAATTCTAGATATATCAGCCTCTCTGTCCCTCAGCATAACTTTCCACCGCTCTTGCTCATCAAGCATGGCGGCATTCTTGCTCTCCACGCAACTCACCAACTCGAAATATGGAACCTATTAGATGAAAGGTGTGTGCTATCAAGGCCTAGCCTGTCATATCACTAACAATAGTTGGTCACGCCTTGAACTAGGACTGACACAATAGCATTATGATATAAGGATGCACTCCATCTAGATTGATCCACTGAAGAATATTGAAATTGACAAGCTGTCTGAAGGAGATTACCGGTTCTACACTCCACTACGTAAGTAAATCTGCCGTTCTACTTCCCCTTTCGACATATGTAACCTCGTTCTTTGAATTTCGTCCTCCCACCTAACATGATGAATTCTGCATTCTAAATCACTGTTCTGGATTTAACTACTCTGGATGTTCCTAGCAATACATATGGACCTTTGGATGTCTGCTTCGATCGTTGCTCAAATTTCTACCATCCCTCCAAGAAGAGTTGTAAGAAACTTGCGATTGCAGTTGCTTCACTGAGTGCAGTATATTATGCCTTCTTACGAGGCAATACAAACGCTTCATTTTGTTGGAACCTAAGGCAATGATGCTTCTTGTACCATGATACCAAACTTCGAATTTCTACAGACCACTCTGGGTAGCACCCTCCCAGTGTCACCTTCCTCCTTCGTTAGAATGTTTTGACAAGACTGAAAGCACCTTCTAAGTAACTCAAAATTTTCTCCTTTGGCCTTTCAGCCTTACTAGGATTCGTTGTCAGGGGGACTGATCAACGAGTAGATTGATCAGTGCCTCCTCCCCTCCACTTCCCTTCGAGATAAAATCCATACAGTCATTATCAAATAACAGACCTGTCTCTATTGGGGCGACCGTAGCTTTGCAGCATAGACGTTCACACTTCTTGAATACAGCTTTGTCTAAAGAAACATGCAGACCCTGTCAGCATCATATCACGGAAGACCTCATTCCTCAAAAGGTTATATTGAGGGATAAAACTAATGAATCATGTAATACCATATTCTAGGTGCATGCTCCATACCCATTTTGTCTAGCTTGACGTCCTTCTATCATGCTACTCAAACCTTTCAGTGTGTACAACAGGTCCTTGATTCAGGAAAGTATTCCATCCTTTCTGTACACAATCAAATCTAGTGCATTCTCCTTCATATATGTACACTGCAGTTTGTGTGTGTGTGTGTGTATATATATATATGAAAGCTTCTCCTGTTTCCATTAACCATCAGCCTAGCTTTGTACTTGAAATCTCTCAAAGGCATCCTTAATTCACCTTGAAGATCCACCTGCAATCAATAGTCTTCCTTTCAAGTGGAATATCCATATCTCCCAATAGTGGTTCTTTTCAAAAGATTCGTAGTCTCCCTGTATAGCTTGCGTCGAATTCCAAAGTTAGTCTATTTACTGCCTCGGCATGTGAAGAAAACTCATCAACCTCTAAAGTAGACACAGTTTTCTACGTGATATAACCAAACTGAATTGAGACATGGGCACCTCTGCGACAATCTCCAATCTATATACTTGGGATTTTTGAACTTTGAACGTTTAGGAGCAACTCCATATGCTTTTGTAGAATCACCGGTCTCAACAAAATTTTTGAGATTTTCCCATGTTTCCATATCTCCATATCATAAACATGCATCGGAGATAGTCGAGTTTTGATACCACCCGATCAATCTACCTCCTCTACTCCACCTATCTCATCTTCTGTGTCTACTACTTCAGTATGTACCACTGGATTCCCAACTTCAAGATATGCCGTCGAATAAATTTGAAGAAAATCAACATGCTTTTGGTGCGATGATCCACCTCTATGATAGTACAACGTGTGTATTGATTTGCCTAGCAGCTATAGCAATAATTCTTACAATGCCATTCTTCTATTCACATACTCTCATATATTCTCTGCTTTAAATAACAAATCCATCAGTATGTTATTTTGTTTTTAGGTTGAACGAAAAATTTACCCTTTTGAACTTTCTTAATAACCAGATGAAGATTAATTTTGAAATTTTCGTTTCAAACATTTGCTTCTGTCACTTTGGTATGTAAGTATAAGCTGGACACACAAACACTATCATCATGATAACACTAAGTTCCTAACCACTCCATGCTTTCTCTGGTCTTATGTCCAGTGTTCAGGAGCACCTCTGTTTCTCATATAATCAGTAACCTACAAAGCTCCGTCCCAAATCATCTTCATATCAGCTTGAGAAATCATACTCACACCTTGAGTTGCTCTACGATAAATATTAGTAACTAACCTTCAGTACTTTTAGTTCGGCTAGCTGATCCTTTTCCGTGCTGTAGAAGAGTAAATATATCCTGCTTTCCCCTGCCGAGGTAGACCTAATCAGGTCCAAGTTTCAAAATCTTCCTTGACTTTCATGTTTACGCGATTGGCAGTTCTGAAAGATTTTACTTTCATAAAGAAAATGCTTTGATCTCAAGAAATTGAGACCAAGGTGACGCTGCTCAAATGAGCTACTTTTTGCATGCACATTCTCTGTGATCTTCAGATCGAGGATAACTTGCTGAACAGAAAATATCCAAATTGAATCTGTACAAATAGCTAGGACTTCACAGACTTGAGCAAAACTACAAGCCTCAATTATACTATTCAGTTTGTTCCAGTACAAAGGCCTCGTTCATGCTGCTCTGCGCTTACGTTTCCGTTAGTCTTTGTGCTTTACTTTCACAGATCCATCCGACTAAATCAGAGAAGAAAGCAACAGCATAACCAAAATCAGCGGTATCCTCGAGATCCCCTGGATTCTGCTTAGCAAGATAAACCTACTAAGCCTTGTATAAATCAGGTTCGGGGTATCGTGAGGGCAACAAATCCGTCCTTCAGAGTAAACTTAGACGAAATAGTGGCAGGGCCAATTGAAACTGATGCAATCACTGGTCTCTAACACGTGAATATGCGGTTATTTCGTAACGAAACGAGCTGAACGACAGAGTAGATCCCTCCTAGCTGAAGCTCGAGCGGGTCATCTTCGAGCACTCTATGTGTTCTGTCTGGAGACCCGGCTACAGTTCACGTTGAGATGAAGGTCATCAAAGATAAGAAGAGCAAGATGGGGCAACTTGCGCAATGTGTGGCAGATCGGACAAAGCTCATGATCATTACCTCCTCGAATGCAGCTCTCACTCTAGCATGGAATCGAAACTTTTTTCGCGATGGTGTACTACGTCAACAGAACCCATCTATAACACGAAATAGCAGAAACCATGGTGAAGTTTATTAAGTAGTAGATAACGTACTTGTTCAAACACACTGGTATGAGACGGTGTGACATAGTTGCTATAAATCGCTTGCTCCAGCTCTTCATGGATGGTGGCCAGTACATTGGCAAAGGGCGTGCTCATCTTCCCAATCTCCGCCAGAAGCTGCACATCAAAGTCAAAAATTACGTGGGGAACAAAACCGTGTAAGACGATCACCAGAATTGAGCACGATGACAAGTACATCAGCTTGTCACAGACAAGTATTTGTGATTTTTTACTCCATGTTTATGTCAGGCTAGCAGGATACGATTTTTCGTCCGAGACCTGCAATTTTTTCATTAGTTGGAGACTACTGTAACAAAGGTATCATGTGTTCAGCAAATTCAGAGTAGAGAAGAGATACACCACCTGACAGCAGACGCTGGTACGATAACCATCAGGGGCGAACTCGTATTTGCCAGGTGTAACTGGCTTGCCTCTAGGAGCCGGTGACTTGCTTAGCATTTCTGCTAATTTCACCTGCAGTGTCGCATCTTGCACAACACACCCGCTTCCAGCATTCACTACTCCATGACATCTTTATTTTTCATGAATCTGTTTCTGGGTCTCTTCACATGAACTTATTTACAAGTGCTTTTCGGCTCATTAGTTATTCTCAAGCCACAGAAGAAAAGTGATCAAGTTCGCTACAACGAAGATCAATAGCACTCAGCAGAAACATATATTTGTTCTGTACGTACGCACGATCTTGGGACAATGTAGGTGGGACACTGCTAACTTTGTTCTACTTTGTAGCTTTCGGGAATTCTGATCTGATCCAAAAATATCAGTCGGTATATGATACAGGCTTATCTGGTTAGTGATGCTTACGACGGCAATGAGGACAAAGCAAAGCAGTTCTAACAAGCAATATATTTGCTGGTTACAACTGGTTTGCAAATTTCAGTAGCTTAATTACGGGAGTTATTGACAAATGACCAGGACTTAGCTTTTTTGACCTAATTCAAAGAAACTCCTGCATAATTTCAAATCTGGTCCTTTCACACGGGACCAGAATTGAAATTGCTGATAGTCTCTCTTCTTGCACCAAACACTAACTACCTTCCAAGACAGAAGAAGGACCAAAGTTCTGCCCTCGCCGGCCTAAAGATGTCATGTTTAGATACCGTGACATCCATTCACGGAGGCAAATAGAAGGCAATTAAACGGTACCAAGGGACGAAAGAAAATAAGCTTCGCAGGTTTTGGAAAGAAACGGCGTTTTGCCTCAGGATCCTGAAGCAGAACTGAGAAGAAAACAATATTCCATGAAGCAGAGAAAATTGTTCAAGAGCTAGCGTGCCCCTCAGCCACTATCTAGCTTGTTGTGAAGTGGCATCTTGCTCAGCAATCTGGAAGCAATGAGCATTTTTCTGCCTCGGTGAAGGGTGGTGCTCAAGAGAGAAGGCAACGCACTGTCGCATTGAGACCAATACTTCGTACCCACCAATGCTTATGATCCTTACCTCACAGAAGACAGCGGGAGACTTGAAGGTGATTACTCCGGCCGCTGAGCCGTCAAATCTTCGTGGAGTGTTCGTACTTCGACCTTCGTGGAACGTCTCATCGTTGAACTCAAAACCCGGTTTCTGGACACTCTCTCGTCGACGACTACGTCGTCTAAACGCAGGGATAGCAGGTTTGGCATTTGGATTCGGCGGACGCATGAAGTTCTTAATTGCTTCATGGAATGTGTTGGGTTTGGAATCTTCGTGATGCCTCATTTTGTCTATTTCGACTCTCAGTGCAGAATGAGTTCCAAGCAAACCTAGACTTTGCAGAAGGTTGTCCTTCTTTTAATGTCGCAGTGAATTACACCAGGAGAGTCACTTCCAATTCTCAGACGGTCGAACTGATTTTACAGTCTCGTATGGAAAAATTGCACACCTTCCCTAGTTTTCTTTAAAGTCAATCTACTCATTGTCCGTATGAGCAAGGAATGGACTGCTCACTAAAAAGTGAATTCAGGTCGGCATATCACAAGCCTACAGAGGCTGAAAGAGCATCCGATTTAATGTTAGGGTAAGTTACTGATGGAAGAGTACTCTACGGTGCAAAGTTCAAATTGAGATGTGAATTACTCCTGCTGGATGCTCGTTTCAAGAGTAGATTTTCGCAGATTTACTGCACATTTAGGGACCAGGAAGACTTTTGACTGTAACTAACTCTGTCCGAACACAACGTGACCGCATATAGCTCACCTTCCAAGAAGAACTTACACAGTCAGATTGAGCGAAAATCAAGGCTTATAAGAACAGATCTTGTAAGCAACGACATTACTTTCTTTCGCTGTTATTTACAGCAGAGCTATCTCCAGGATTCTTCCACTTGCAGACATGTGAATGCACTTTCCGTTTCCGATCCAGTGCGTTTCCTGATACATCAATGGTTCAGGAAGAACTAAGCTCCCGCGAGGCAATTTTCTGCCACAGCCTTTTTGGCATACATTACTCAATCGCTTAGCCGAGACCAAATACGTATCTACTCTCGCCGTGTCAAGTTCTGTTACTAACATCAGTGTTCTGCCGCTGCATCTGGAGAAAAGCTCCCAAGCTGTAACTAACTCACCTCGCTAAAAATCTCTGAACCTTGACAAATTATACCAATTATCAGAAGGCTTTTCGCGGCATTTCCTGAAGACCTCCCGTAAAATTAAGATCAGTGAACGAGAAGGTGAAGCTGAGATTGTGAAAAGCTTGCGCCATGAACACCTAGCGAGAGAACAGGGAATGCAGTCTGGCCTCAGTTGTCCAGGCAACATCCTCAAGAGTCCATTAACGAGTTCTTGGTAGTAACTGGATCCGCTCAAAGATATACCGGGCGGAGCCGAACGTGGAACAGGAGGAGTAATCACTGTTCTAGCAATATACATGGAACTGAATTCCGCACTTCACAGACAAACATGATATTGCAGCGTCAAGAAGACAATTCACGTGCACACAAGTTGCCAGTCTACATAAGTTGGTGTGTTCTTGATTCTGCAGGTACATGAATCCCTTAACGAGAAAGACTATATCAACGAGGGATTTGATCCTCCTGGTGATATCTACGGAGAACTTAAAAAGCTTGGCTCCAGAGCAAAGATTACTACACCTTCCAGTGGTCTCCACCAGGACAAAATAATTTTCTTAACAGGTAAAATCATCCCTTCGAAAACGTGGATGAGAAGGATCTGTGATTCAGATCGTACGTATAAAAGTTTAGGGTTTAGGATTGAGACCATTTTGCAAGTTGACTGATTAGTACGCAGACCTGACATCGTTGTAGATTCTGAAGTAGATTGCAGAACATTTTTCCGATTTAGTGTGTTCTCTGAAACTGGTTTTTTCAGGTGTGGACAATGCCCTAATGTCATCATCATCCACATACTGTATGAAGGACATATTTCATAGATTCCGAAGCCAGAATTCCAAACCAGGCGATTTGATTTCAGCGGGTAGATACAATTCTGATAGAGGAAAACCGACGGGAGGGAAGGACATGTTCATTTCAGATAATAAACAGTCATGTTACTCACTTTTTAAGCCATCAGGCCATACGAGTTTTGATACATGCAGATGAAGCATCAGATCTTTGGTTGTCAATTGACGGAACGATCAAAGGCGGGACATCATCAAGAAACTGTTCTGTGTTTCTTTGCCCCCGTAGTCTAAGGAACCCACAAAATGGTAAAAAGAAAAAGTAGTATACGGAAGAAATTAGAAAAGACGGTCAGCTGTAGTGACCAGCGAAGCAAAACTTTTCAAGATCGCCGTCACAAAAGTTGTTCATTGAGGGCAGTGAGGAGTGTAATGAAGACTAATTTCTGATTACAAACCGATAACAACTAGAGTAACACGTGATGAACCTTCGCACGCAAGGAGACGGAAGAACGCGATTTTTCGGAACGATGAATTGAAGCAATAAAAAGCAGTACCCAAACAAGGGACAGGAATCGAGAATTCACACTATAATATCTGGAACACAAGACTGCACGTGACTTGCGGAAATTATGAGAAGTCCACGGGAGGTGCACGAATAAAAGGCAGAAAGTGACACAAGAATGGAACACAATTGTAGAACACAAACTGATGCATATGCAATCTCCGATAACTTTGATGCTTTAGAGCATTCATAACTCTTTGCAATCGAACCATAACCTGCACCAACCTTCTTGGAAACAGCTATGTCACATTACACATGACCTCACCGTGCTAGCCAGCGGATTGGAATCCCTTGGCTGCGGAAAAGGGAAAAGAATCAGCGACCATCTACAACTTCTACATCTACCGACTCTCATCACTCCACCGTCAGCACGATGATCTCATAAGGATGCCTATCCTCGTAATCCGGGTCAACAATCCATTCCTGAGTTTCCCAAAAGAAAAATTTTGTATATCACTTTGCATGTGGATGTTTGTTGAGCAAGTAATAAATTATGTAACCATAATGTCAAAATTGTTGTAATATGACTTGCAAAGGAGACAGATGTTAGGGATTAATTTAGATGATCAATGATGGCGTCACTATTATTAAAGATGTGTGCTTCACCGTGAGCTCTAAGTTCCCAAGCTTTCGAGCCAAATTGCTCGTAGTTTTCTCAACCAGATTATTGCAAGCTCCTTATGATGATACGATCTGTTTCCACTTGCAATGTTTTGCAGATTTCAAGGGAATTAGTCTTAGAATGCGCATGGTGAATGTCCATATGACCTCCTCCCGATAATACCAAATAAAAATTCTATCAATATAAGCAGCTGCAGTGGTGACAAGTAGTTGTAATTATGATTAACGATTTGGAAAGATATAGACAAGATAATCAAAATGGTAAAATTATTACAACTCTCTAACCCATTGTATAAACTCTTCTACGTTATATACGCTTTAACATTGAGACATCGATTTTACGCTTTCTCCAATTTAGATCTTTACATTGATGTCTATGATGTCCAAATGTATGCCTTTGATATTGCATATATCTTACTATGTTTGATTAACAAAAAATTTGGATTACAGTTGCCAAATAATCTAAATCTAGAGACAATTGACCATTTTCAAAAGTAGTTAATTAGCGATGTAATATATAATAAAATGACTATCAAGTCTAAATGAAACTTAACATAGATGAAACTTCCAAACTCAAAAGATCCACCAGAAATAATAAACAACGCAATCAACATGCTTTATTAACTTCAAATTTGGATACCTTATGCGTGTTATCATGATGTTCGATTCATTGTTCTACATAATCATATTCAAAAATGTATGCTTCCTTCTTTTTCACATGCAGAGTACTGTGTTATGTACGTATAACATCCTCATTTTATTAATTAATTTTCTTCTCGTCATATACATTTAAGGGAAGTTTAAATCATTTAAAAAAAAAAGCTTTCATAGAAACCTACTCCCGTTTTAAGTTCAATAAATTTTTAACATATGTGCTAATACATAATTTAACTTTTCAATGTAGTAGTGGTCTAAAAATATATATAATTTAATTTAAAATACAAATCATATACAGCATATATATTTGTTGTAAGTGTGTAGAAATTGATGTAACTATTATTTGAAATTTGTAATTTTATGATTGTATTTTCTCGGTCAAGTCATTTAACTCAATCGTTTAGAGAAATTTTGAAGACGGGTATATACTTCCATTTTCCACCCATGGGTACTCATGAGTAAGTACTTGAAAGGTACCTAATACCCACCCATACCCACCCATGGGTATGGGTGGATATTTCATATCTACTGCTAAACTTTAATTTGAATGCAATCCCATTTTAATTTTCTTCACTTTTCAACATTCTCCTCCTCGGCATAAAAATCCACTTGTTACATTCATACTCTTTAGTATGATATGTGTGCGATTATCAATTAGAAGTTGTACAATTTTCATCTTTTGTTTCCTTATTATTTCCAACGGTCACTTTTCTTAAGTTTCGAATTATCCAGTATTACTTGCACACATATGTTTCCTCACTCGAAACCAAATTGAACACAGTCGTAATACCATTTCATAGATTGCGAGTGGCATTTTACATAAAAATTGACACTTCATACCACCTCTCAATGTCTTCTCATTCCCACCTTCCCGTACTCACAATATGCCCATACTTGCCATCTATCTTAGAATGAAAGTCTACATTGGCCACTACTCACTTGCATAATTACACCTTTACTTTGCATACCAAATCAAATCCTACACAACGTCAGATTTTATTTCCAGGTTGCTCACCTCTTATCTAGATTTCCTACTTGCATCCTCATGATTCACATATTGTAAAACAAAAAGTAAGATTTCGCACCGACCGCCGATCTATGACACTATGTTCTAAAAATTGAATATACAATGCGGCATCTTTGTACACACTCCCCGTGGACCCCCTTCCAATACACACTTCCACCGCCTTCATCATCATCCCAGCGATATCAAAACCATTCAGAGAGCAAACAATTCTTGCACAAGCCAGTGCAACTTCATGAAAGGTTGGGAAACATCGCGCACTAAAACCATACATCACGCAGATTTCCTGAAGAATTTATCCTTATCCTGAGATCAGACAATTTTAATTCCGCTGACTACATGCCAGATAGATCAAATACAAGAGGCCTTTTTTGTTTTCTCACTACGTTGTCTCGAACTCTATCCACAAGAGACTTGACAGTTTTAGGGTACAGAAATTTACACCGAATCTACACATAAGAATCTACATGGCGATAAAGTTTAGTGTGGGTCAATGGTGACACCGAAAATACCCCACGGGAAGCCAATTGACCTCTGCAGGAGTAGGTGATCAGCAATTGCCATCCTATCAATCTACAAGAATCCGCACATATCAGTTTGATATCCCCATGTTGTGTTCCATTCAGGCGCGGGGCTGCTGAATTCGATGCATAGCGCCTTTTCGTGGGCTCTTCAACGCCTTGCTTGCTACCTTGTCGTGGTGCTTAAGAGGCTCACGCCACATCATGTGAGACTTGATCGAGTTGACATCAAGCCCAATGAAAGCGCTGACCACATCCTTATCTACATCACGATTCAGGCCTGGAAAGGCAGAAGCAGAGAGTTAGGCGTCTGCAATTTCCAGCTGCTGCAAAGGTTACAAAATTACAATCAAAATAGAACACGGTGTGACAATCGTTCTCTTTCCTCCTTCGATTCGTTTATCGCTACCACAAGTGAACCTTTCTTTAGTATTTTCGACAATGACAACAAAAATTCTGTCAAAAGAAACTGTCAGTGTAGTTGGAAGAATGCAGACTTATCACTGATAATATGCCTCGAGAACTATAGAAGAGTTCTAGATTTGATGAGGTTAAGACACTAGCCTATGCTGGACGGGGAAAACTTTATGCAGCCAAACTGTAAGTCGCCTGCCAACGCTCCAGGGGAACGTAACATCCTACAAACACGGGACCAGAGTTTTGGATATGTCAGAAGCCCCCACTAGTCTCGAGAGGATACAGGCAAGCAGTAGTCCCAACAAAGATATAGAACCACTCCATACTAGGAGCAGCAATCGAGTAGGGCGGGACGCTCGGACAAAAAGAGCATGACAATGATTTCTGCGGGGACGTATTTTGTCTCTGAACCATATACATCGATACTACTCATTGCAGTCTCAGCTGTTCGCAGGAGCAGAATCGTCGTAGAATACTGGTCATGACCACATCGCACTCCTGCGGTGTAGAGAGGCTTTTCTACCTTCCAGCACAAAACAGTGCCTCTGCTCAATTCTCTGTCCACTTACAATGTAACTATCGATGCCTAATGAACACGTGTGGTGCACAACAGGAGTCAACAGAGAAAAAAAGGGTTGTAGGTAAGGAGCAGGTTCCAAAGGGCCACCGAGGAAGAGGTTCACATAGGAAATTGAGACTGGAAACTATAAGTTTGTCCTGCCAATTCGTGCGCTGTAAGACGACCATAGACAACGACTTCAATAACAGATACATAACACAGCTTCAGCAAGGGTGTCTCCTCAACTGCATGTTTATTTGCGCGACTCGGTACAACAATTAAAAAGGCCCAGATACGAACTAAACGGAGCAGGAGGAAAGAACTGAATAGCTACCATTGTCTTGCTTGTGGTGGGCCAGATCGTCAGCTATGTCGAGTCCATCAAACTGAATCTGGTTCTGAATGTCCAGCAGATCGTCGATCGCATCGAACTCGTCTTCTTCGGTGGGACCGTCGTAAGGGTCTCCACTCTCGAATCGCTCTCTCAGCCAATAATCCCGGAATGCGGGACAGGTCTCCACGAGCCTCCACCACTCGGGTGAGAAATCTTCCGCAGCCATGAAGGAAGCGGGAATGAACAAAGGAGCATTCGGGTTCAGAGTCGACATAATTGCAGTCTGTACCACCATCGCGGACCGATTAGAAAACACACTTCGCCGTCAAACAAACGCTCGAACAAAACAGGCACTTCCAACTACTACTCCGCTTATCCCGGACAAAGACCTGCACAACGGACGACACTGTACACTATCCACTGCCCTCAGGACTCTTCAGATCTTTCCACTCCACCTCAATTGACGACTTCTGTCTTCAGGACAAGCCGCTCCTCTTTATAAACTGCTCTCCCTCTCCGGTTCTCAATTTCTTTGCCTCTCGCACCTCTGCGTCACGGCCAATTGCCACAATGACTGGCACCAATTCTCCACTCGCTACTTAAATTACTCACAATGCTTCACTGAGATACAACCCCCACTGTTCCAGATCGACGATCTCTAGCAACTGCTCTGCGCTTCTTCGGTACGCGCTCTTCAGGAGAAAGCGTTGTGGATGCGGAAGGGATGGGGCAGTGGGTGAGATGATCGAATGCCTGCCTTCGTGCTACGCCCCGCAACAAATACTTGCCCTCCGTCGTCACGTACGTTGGCCCTCTGGCCCGCGGCCCCGCGCCCGGGATGTCCAGCGCCGGCTTACCGGGTGACCGGACACCGCCGCGCGAGGAAAGTGTCGAACTCATGCGCTTTTCGCGTCCTTCTGCGGTCCGCAAAGTCACTTATCCGTCGGCGATGGCATTCGTCGGACAACTGACGGATGGAACATTCTTGGTATGATTCTTGACCCGGTACCGCCAGGGCCAGGACGCTTGACCCAACGGAGCCCACACCATGTTCCAGATGACCTCAGCCTTCGGATCCTCGATCCGACAGTACGGAAGGTTCCATGACTTTTGACTTCAGTCTCTCCCTTGGAGGAAAAGGTAAGGCGCCCGTATGAGAGCGAAAAGGAGGGTAAGATCCCTCGGTAGAAGGGAGGACCCCTGCGGCACTTTTTCATCGAGCGTCGGACACTTGCACTGTCCCACGGTCTGACTGTCTGTCGTGACGGGAAACACTTTGGTACATTCCGTAGCTCGTCCGACGGAGCAGGATACCGAGTTCCAACCCTCCGTCAAGTTGGCTGACCGGGATTTGCCGACGCAAGATTTCCCCGATCTTTGCGGTGTTGGGTGGTTCCGCCGGGTTTGCAAGAATACAGCAATAGGATGCGAGAAAGTGACTTCGACCCATCGCGGCTCAGATACGGTTTCCGCATCTAAGCCGCGTTCGAAATGAGCCGTGAACCCGAAACAGGGAATAGAGGGTAATAATCGGCGCACCGCATGTGAAATTCGAAACTTAATTTAGCACACAATCGAACGTCCGCGTACGGTAAGCGATGTCGGCAATGCTCGATCTTTGAATCTAACGGCAATCACGATACTCGTACTCGAGGCTAACGTCCGGTATCGAGGCCGGTGGCGCATTAACTTCCACTAAGCTCCTCATTCAACGCGAGTACGTACGCAGTAACTCGAAGTACGTCGGTCTTCTTTGAACCCGACCTTCACGCTCCGGGTAAAGAGCGGACCTTTTCCTCTGTCTGCCCGAGAGCAGTCCGATGATCTCCACCGTAGCTTCCATGTCATCTCACCGAAACGCAATCTGAGACGCTCATTTTGAAATGCGTGGGTCACTACCGGCGGTCTTCCGGCCTAAGTCAGTTGCTACTACTGTAGTGGTGTCAGTAGCCTGCAATTGGACCGCGTTCCCCAACTCTACGTGTCCTCGTTGACGACTTCGTAATCTACTTGTTTGTCAGTAGGTCCACTTGTCCTCAGAGGAGATACTCGTACTCCCATTACCTCTACGTTCGCCCTCGGAAATATGGTATTGTATAGGAAAGTTTGACTTTGCTATGGGAGCGTAGGTATTTCGTTGTTCTCCTACCACTTTATTTATCAAAAAAGCCTTCACGCATCCATCGTTCTCTCCCAACTCCCTTCCTTCCGACCGAAAGTTGTTTTGGGTAGGGACTACCATCGTTCGTGCTTTCATCAAGACGAATGCTTGTTGATCACCCGATTTTTGTATTCACATGATCCATGATATTCCCATGATTCGGGGTAAATCAGCTGGAAATTTTTTACAAGAAGAGTGAAAGAGGAAACGTATCGAAGATTTTGATGAGGTTTTACATCAAAGGTGGGCCAGAGATTATTTCCAGACTCAATTCAAAACTTAATCTCGTAGGAGGGACTTTCGATGCCAAAAATATGGTTAGGCACACCACACTCGTAAACTTCATACATTTTTGAGGACGGGAGAAATGTAAAGGAAAAGGTAAAGGTTTTCAAGGTCATTAAAAGCGGATGACACTATGGACTCAGACCCACTCTGAGAGACTGAGACCTCCTCCTGCCTTGAGACTTGCGGGCTAAGTTGTCCACGTTCTTTAGCTGTCATCTCTCTCTCTGACAGCAGTGAGAGAGGACCTCGGTGCAACTAAAACATCAAGAGGAAAGACGCCTCCAAGGACATTCCACCATCAAGAAGCGCCCATCATGTCTCTGACAGTGAGGCACTTGCTAAACTTCCACTCATCTTCTGCCTCGCTTCGGGATGCGAAGGTCCTCAAGAAAGGAGATGAGTGGGAGCTATCCTGTAAGTCTTCTCTTGAGTTTCCACATTTCGCAAGAAAGCACCCCACCCAGAGTCCAGGAGTCCAGGACTACACGCGCTTTGGAGAGATTCTCAATACGGTTCTAGCGAGTCGTATCTAAAGTCATCGAAGTTCGACCTGATCGCTGACCCTGATCCTACCCATTTGGTTCCATCCATGAAACTTGATGGGATCTTTTCGTCGTTTTCGCTAAATTACTCGGTTCCGCCTTGTGTGATTGCAGAACCTGTCTTGGCGTTTTCGGAGCCTGAAGCGAGGTTGCAATAGAGGGAGAAGACTACAAAAACCTACCTACATCGGAATCTGCGGGGAAGAGGATTCTAGTGTTTGACCAATTGATAACAATCTTATCGTATGACTTTATGTTTGACAACAACAACAACCTGTGTAGTTGCTGTAAGCACACACCTATGTCCATAGATAGTAAGACAAAAAACAACAGGGTCGAAATAGCTCTTCAGTGCTTGGGTAGTTGGGTGTGGCTACACTGAATCACGAAGACATGACTAGAACTTGAGGTTCAGTAGAATCTTAATTTGGAACTACAGTCCAAGCCGTAAAAATTCAGCAGTGACAATTTGTAGTGCTCTGATTGATGGATTGAACAAATATCTCGGTCTTGCTATGATTGTACACAATAATATAATCAGGCCTTTTCAAGTAGACTTGAAAAGCAACACACTCTACCGCTTTCATCCTGTGACCAGATTTGTCTACTTCCGTCATCTGACGTGGATACAGTCGATAAATGGTTGTCATCTTACTGCTCGAAGTTTCTTGCCATTCAAGGAGCATTCATGACTACAGGCTCTGACCAATTAAAGAAGTATGAACATGAAGCGAGCCGAATTAACTGGCTCTCAAAATTTGGGACTCAAGTTACCTTCCACCATTCATTGAATAGACACATTTAGATGAGAGGCTAGATGCAATTCACTTCACAATGTCCACTCTTCTTTGAGTGCCCAAAGGCCGAAAAGAGCCATGATATATGGGTTGATATTCACACATTAAAAATGTCGATGTGGTCGTTGAGTTCATGACAAGTTGTAAGAAATCTAATTTACCAAATATAGAGTGAATATCATGATAAAAGGATACACAAGTCTAAAAAGAATTCAAAAAACTTGCAAGATTTTATTACATGCATATGATCACAATACAAAGTTCAGTGATGTTCAATAAATTCATTGATGGCAGCCCCATCTTGGACAACGTTAAAGAAAAACATTTATATCGCTTCTGTTGTTATACTAACACATATTTCTTGTTCAATATTACAACCAGAACTAGTCAAAAATTAGCTATTGGACAAATAATGTGAATTGCATATGCAGAACTTATAGGGTTTGGTGTATAAATGTTTACATGTGTCTGCTATCTTACTGATTATCAACAAGTTATTGCATACTCATTCTTTGCACAATACTACATTTACTTCTAAGCTTTATATTTCTTTTTACTTCCAAACTCACAACATTCACTAGTTCGAGTTCCTTTGTGAGAATGAATTTACTACAGTGTAAAGGACAGACTCCCATACGATGACCTTAATTTGGTGTATTCATTTATGGCGAAAATTCTTGAAAAAGATTTCCACTATTAAATCTAACATGCATAAAGTACAATCTTGTCCTCACACGGGGATCATGAATGAATAACTTGATTTCTGGGTGCGTTTGAGGTCTCAACAGAGCATACGATAAGCCAGAACAAAGATCGATCGAAGCTTAAACCTTCCTCGTAGAATCATGAGATTCTAACAGAGATTAATTCATGCCAAACCTTCTCACTAGATGGGTAGATTTTGTGGGATCTCCTATGCGTACTGCCACTATCTAGATTTTGTACGCTGATACGCAATACATGGAAGCTTTTGAAAAAATAGCCAAAACCTGTATGGACTAGAAATGGAGAGTAGGTCATTAACAAATTACGACACACATTGTCTATTGCAATAAGACATATTTCCTAGTTACAGAGTAGTGGGGGCCTAGCCGCATCTACTTTACCTTCCGGTTTCATCCCTGTATTACTTGATGGGTTTTTGCAAATTTTGTTTGTGTTAATAGGTTTCTATCCGAACGATTCTTTGAGCATCATTGTTTTTATGCTATAAACCTGTACACTGTCCCCTCAGTAAACTGTGACTAAGCAGGAAATGATTCTCAAGAGGAGAGGGAGAATCGAAGATCAGAAAAGCAGATGTGCCGACAAGCCAACTATGCAAAGGGAAGGGTAGGACCAGAAATCAATATTGCAGGAGGGCGAAGCGGTCGACTGAAATGATTTTCTTGTGTAACATGTGGCCATAGGGACATAGGAGAATCTGATTTTCGCACCGAGGCAGCATGAAAACTGTTTATGCTGTGTCAGTCTTCATGGATGGCCATCCAAGACCCACGCGATTTCTTCAGCCTGTCGTCGTCGTAGTCGTCGTCTCGCCGGAGCCATCGCCAAGGCCATGCCCGGCCCGCTCGCCCGCCCTACATTCCCTTCCGACAGGCGAACTGCACAAAGAAGCCTCTTGTACTCAAACGAAATTCACCGCCGGGTTTCGTGACGGGCGTAGCCTTGCTTTGACCATGGTAACGCGAGATGCCTCGGCAGTTTCTGCCGCATTCTGCAAAGCGCGTGGGCCATTTCACGTCCTCATGAGCACAGGGCAGTACCGCAAGCAAGTACCGGGAAGAATCGAGATCGGTGCAATCGGGACGAACTAATGGCAGCTTGTACCGCGAAATTAGATTTTATCTTCGAAGCTTAGCGCGAGAGGACTATCAGATTGGCGCGGGTGTCCTGCCGGCAGCTCTTCGTGGGACAACTCGGCGAATCTTCAAAACCGATGGGACCGTATTGTATCCAATAAACGCTGGCCGGTCGATATGGCCTTCAAATATCGGAGACCAGGTGTCATCTTTATTTCTTTTTCTTTTTTAGTGACCCCCGGTTGTCTAAGCAAGGAAGGATGTTACCAAGATGTCATTTCTATTCCATTTTGGGGTTTCCGAGGTTTGTCTCTTCCTTCGATACAGCAGAACCTACTATTTTGTTAAAGACCTACAACAAGCTACCCGAGGACAAACTATGAAGCCCCGTCAAGTCATACGAGGGCTAGGTCCGAATATGATCATAAAGGAATATATATATATATATATATATCTATAAGGAGTATGCAGAAAATATGTGGATTCTACATATTTTCAATCCCTAATTATTCAAGCAGGAAACAACTTAAATTTTTTAACAAAATATCCTGTTGCATTTTGAAGCATGCTGCGAAGGCGACACTTGCAAGGAAGTACTTCTTGGCTAGACTCGAGAGATTCATTCGATGACAATTTGAGACTACAATCATTTCTATCAACCACGGCAGACTAAATTATCTACTTGTCAAAAACTTTGTCTGCACACAACGGCTGCTTAAATCATGTTCTAATGCTAGTAAATTACTGCTTTAATCCGTTTTAAAGTCAAACGGATCATGAAGCGAAGCCCAGATTTTCAGTTGTAGGCCACAGGAGATTGTAATTGCGAGTGTAACCGCAATGCAGTGAAGCTGGCGAACTTGCGAAATCTGATGGAAGACGGAAGAGAAATTCGATGGATGTAATCATGACCCGTCATTCCACCACCGTCCGTCCGAAATTGAAGAGCGAATGGAGAACGTGATGATCGTTGCGGACGGACGGACCTGTCGCTGCCCGATTAGGTCTAGCAAAAGGAGATCTCTGATCATTGCACCTTGATCTTCCAATTATGACTGTCAGGTGACCTGACTCAGGCATGGTGCGCACGTGGCCATGCTGACTCAGATGGATGGGTCACGATCGTCGACATACGATGCACCTCGCAGCGTCGCCATTGCGAGCCCGTCTCGCGGGATGGGCAACTGTACGCAGCGTTCTCACTGGCCGTCGTATCCAACTGTCGACACGTTTGTCTTGTTCGCGCGACCGATCCGCATGAGACAAACGCTTCTCAGAGTCATAGGCGGCCTCCTCCTTGTTCCTCAACATTCTCCTCGAGGAATCTTTCCAAGCAGAAGCTGGAGCTCGCTGCTGAAGTGCCCGACTCGTCTTTATCATCTTCCTTTCCCTTGGGTGTTTGTTTCGTTCTGCTTTTCGGTCTTGTGCGCTCCTAGAAATTGGGAAGCATCTTTGTCCTCTATGTTATTCACCTTTACGTCAAGTCTACGTGTTTTCCTTCGACTTTATTTCCGCTTTTCTAACCGCCTTTCTAACTTACCCCATATATTCGCGTTCCCTTGAATTCCCCGAGTACGTGCTTTCCAGACTTTTGCTACTCCAGATCTCTCCTCTCCGATGAGGTTGTACCACTAGGGGTTCCTGCCTGAAGGCGAAGACGACAAATCTCTGCATGAAGATGGAAGTTGTTTGGAGATTGAAAGTACCATGGGTTTGGTAAGAGACCAAAGGAGGGGAACGAAAGAAAAATCACACGGAAGAAGTAAGGGAATAACAAAATGCGTCGAGAGAATACGCCGACCTTTTTCCTCCAGAATGCACCCCAAGAGAAATGAATTATTCTAAGACTTTATACGAATTCTATGGATACCTAGCAACTTGTTATGAAGGAAATACCAACAGTAATATTTTTTGCCACAAAGCAGGCTCCTGAAGTTCGATCTCTATTATGCCCTTCAATGTGAAAACGAATATATCGAGCATAATTTACGATTAACTCAAGGTTTAATGTGATTTCATATGCTTAAAGCCAGGTGAGGTGAAGTTTTAAAAGTTACGGAGTGCTAGATTTATAAATGTATATGTCAGAAAATATAGAATGATGAGGGAAATCTTTCTCAAATTTCACGATGTATTTGTTGATGTGTTGTCTAATGCAGAACACTGTCATGATTTGACTGGCAATTTGGTCAGATTGCGAGCAATTTCCTTGCTTGCGGCACGTCTATTCTGAAGAACTACAATTCCAAAAGGCAAACTATTATATTTGAGAAAAATGCTGCTAACATTTCAAGCTTTCTAAGATATGTATTGCAACGTAGGAGATATTATAAGTGAAACTTAATACGTTTTCCGATTATACTGGACAAACGATTCTATGCAAATTATCTAATCAAATCATCTGAAAAGAGAGTAAGAAATAAAAATGGACATTACATATAATATCAGATATTCAAACTGAATTTCATCCAACTCCACAACAGTATTAGCTTCATTTTCTTAAACAACTGTATTGAAAGAAAACAGATTTCAGAGATACAGAAAATAAAATCCATTTACATTAATTGTTGATGATATTATGAACCTACATGTATAGACTGGAGTTGTTTTTCATATGACTAAAGATAATGAAAAGTATACTGATTATTTGTTGACAATTTTTAGTTAATTTGATCAAATTTTTCTCAAAGAGAAATTTCTAGATTTCAAGAAATAAGAGTTCCATTGACATCAGTTCAAAAGAAATATTGTGTGGAGCCAATATTTTCTATATATATATATATATATATGAAAATTTAATTTATGGACTACTGATTTTATCTTTTTCCTTTTGACAAGGACGTGTATAAAGTAATAAACATAGATTTGTAGATTTGAAATGAAGACCTTGACGCAACTCGAGCATGTAAATGCTCTAGAAATTCCTAAGAAAATGTACGAAATGTCAGTTTCTTGTTAGTGAGATCAGGATTGTACCAATATGGCAATGACTGAAGCATACATCGCAACTACACGCTCTAAAGACTTGAGCGTACGAAAATTTCTAGAGCGGAATTGTTCGTAAACTCTCCCTCCTGGTTCGGTGGCTGGGACTTCATGCAATTCTATGATTGCCGTTTGTGTCTCTTTCTCGTCCCATCAAGAACGAGAAAGTTAGGAAAGTGAAACCTCGGGGTACGATCAGACGTGGACCTGACCGAAAAGAAAGAAAAACAGTGTTCCACCGGCAGGCGATCAATGACCGACCGACCTTTCATGATACGATGGGAATGAGTTCTAGGCTGACAAGGAGAGCGTACGTTGGCTAGCTTCAAAGCTCGGTGCTCGTGGAGTGTAAACTGGACTTCACGAGTTAGGCTAGAAACAAGTCTTGCAGATAGAGAGTGAGTGGAGGCGCAGGGACTTTTCGCTTCGATGGGACTGCCACTGGCGCCACTTGTGTCAGACGAGATTCCTCCGTCAAGAGCAGTCGCCGTCGTCTGAACGTTATTCTTCGTGTTTTCTCTACCACGTACGGTCGGAGGCTGACGGTTGACTTCCCATGCTGCCAAACCTCTCTGTCCTGCGAGGAACACGCGGTCAGACTTCTCTCCCTGAGGGAAATGTTTGCAAGTACTTTAATTGTTTATTTATATACTCGACAGGAGCGACCTGCAGATTGAAGCGAGGTCGAGATGGGAAGAAAGAAAGCAAAAAATTAAAAGCGACTGAACTTCAAGTTTGGTAAACACTACTACTTGGATACTTGATCAGAGTTGCTGGTGATGTCAACAAGTGGTGCACCATATTTACAAGAAATAATAAGAACTAATGTTAAATGGTTCTTAGAGAATGAGTTGTCACTAGATATATATAGTAAGACCTCCGTTCTTGCCCACAAACTGGAAATCTGTCTATATCATGGGAGTTGAGTTATAGTAACATTCGGGGATGGGCAGCTAATCCCATGCAGGTTTTCTTCTACTTCTTGGTATAAATATATATTCTTTCCAAAATAAATAAATAGATAAAAAATGTAGGGAGTGGCTAGTTATACTCACTTTGGGTTAATTAGCCTTCACCATAGTATAAGTTCTTTGTCCATTCGTTGATACTCATAGGTGCTAGTGGCGCTGCATTGATGGCGATTAACATCACTAAGGCGATTCTTCTAAATTGTTGCGTACTTCGTGTAGGTGTTTCTTCTAACTTATTGCTCCCTTCCTGTTCCTCCCCGTGGCAAGCGTGACATGGCTCTTGCCTCCCACGTCAAATAATTTCTCAAAAATTTGGAGAGACAGAATTTGGATATCACATGACTCACTTATTGTCAGCCATGTCGCTTTCTTTGTCATACGCCTCTTGGTTACAAGTTGTAACCAAGAGAATTTTGTAACCTACAAACCTCTCTGCGTCGAAGATGTTATGACCTTCAAGCCAGTTTACATGATTGTTGTGATGTGCTTCCAGAGTAAATTGCTTGTGTATCAACTATTCGTGCTATTAGATCCGACATGCGTGATGATCATTTGCCTAATTCCAAATGGTGAAGGCGTAGAGCTAGATGCACGAAACGAGTGAAACGAGAAATCGTTTGACGTTGCAGGCTAAACTCTGACGTGGTAGGCGTGATCCACGTCACGCTTGCCATGGGAAGTAACACGAAGTGCGCAACAAGTTGAAGAACCATCAATGTAGCGCCATTGACACCTATAAGGATCCACAAATGGTGGTAGACCTATACTAGGTGAGTGCTAATTAAACCAAGATTCCTAAAATCTGGCGTTTTATTTTTAGACGCCAGATTTGCTAGAATTAATCTGGTCAATATGCCAAATTAATCAAGCATCCTCAGTCGACACCTATATGAAGTTTTGCACAAGAATACAAGGATAAGGCATGGAGAATGTAGAGAATCTCGCAAGCATGCAAGGGGAGGAGGTGAGGTACAGCGGGGTGAAGTATCTTAGGTTAGGAATGTATTCTCTTGATGTTTTCTTGTCTTGAACGCAAGCACTAAAGTCATAGCGAAGCTTTTGCAATCCATCATAAGTCAAAAAACTCCGTTTTAGATTAAACATGGCGGCTAGTTTGATTTGCAACCGGTACAGATTGTTGTACCAGTTGCAACCGGTACAACAATCTGTACAAAGCAA